CCAGGAGTCATAGCTGTGGGAGATTATGTCCCCCCTCACTACCCACATCAGGAATCACAGCTGCAGGAGTTTATGCCCCCCACCCCCCTCACTCCCCACACCAGGAGTCACAGTTGCAGGGCTTTTGCCCCCCCACCTCACTGCCCACACCAGGAGTCACAGTTGCAGGGCTTTTGCCCCCCCACCTCACTGCCCACACCAGGACTCATAGTTGCAGGGCTTTTGCCCCCCCACCTCACTGCCCACACCAGAAGTCTCAGCCATGGGAGATAATGGGCCCCCCCTCACTCCCCACATCTGGTGCCTATGGCGAGTGGCATGGCTGCTTACCCTGACAAGTGAAGCACTTGACGTGGAAGTGGACACTCTGGACGCGCACCACCTCGCCCTTGCACGCCTCCCCACAGCGGAAGCAGAGTATGGGGGCTGATCCTCTGCCCCCACCATAGGAGCTCTGCTGGTAGGGTACTGCTGGAAACAGGAGAAAAGACTTTTAATTATTTGTGTCTGCGCCCCCCCACATTTCACAGGCTGCTATGCTGCTTGAAGGAGAGCAACAGGCAGACAAGTAAACGTCCTGCTACGTGCCAAGCTATCCGTCAGCCTCCCGTGCATCAATCAGCAAACCAGACACTCGGCTCCCAGGCCCAGTAAACGCTCAGTCATTTACGCTATTGGTCCACCTGCACTGTCACATCAATCAGCACTATCAGCCCATTTATAAACTCTCTTTCAGCTGTGAAACATATTGCCTTGCCTTACGTCAATTTTTTGCTAAAAGTTAACAGAATATGAGATTTGTTAAGCTTGTGCTTTTCTTGCTAACATCAAAAACTGGCTATTCAGAGTCTGGTTTTACTCCTAGCCAAGTCTAAATGACCGTTTCAGGCAATTCTGAGCACAACAAATCCACAAAATTCTGGTTAACGCTGAGATCAAAATAATAATTTATAACTATCCTTTGCCAACAAATTTACACAAAAAACACAAAAGTGTTAATGTGCACGGGAGTGCTAGTCTCATGCAACATACAGCACCAATTCCCCAATGTAAATAGAGCTCCACAAAAGGCATGTGATCTGCGCTTCCCATAAAAACAATTGATGGGAGAGGTGGGTAGCTATGCCTCCCCTAACCCTAACCCTAACTGGTCTGAGGGGAGGCTGGAGAGCAGAGGGGATCCCTTCACACCGGGAACCAAAGGACAACTGTTCTTCTACAGCTGTTCCGGGGGCAGACATAGGCTGGGTGAGGTCAGGAATGGATAAACAAGGCCCATATTATGGTTCCCAAAAGCCGAACCCCCTCTTGGGGTGTAGCTTGACGGAAGGCAGAACTCCAAAGGTCCACAGAGCTCCTGGAATGTGCAGGTCAGTCATCCCTCAGAGAGGACTGTTGCCTCGCCAGCAATCGGGAGAGACGCAGAAGAATGTGGACACACTGCAGGAGATTGGCCAGCTCTGTCCGGAGCACTGGCATACCGATCCCACTGTCCAGCTGCTCCAGTGGGGGCCTCCCACACTGCATTTTCCATGTATGTTTCATTTCACACCCGCTCCCACAGAATGTAACAAGCATTTCTTAGCCACTCCTACAGCTGGAGCAAACTAGTCTAGGGCTCTGGCTCACAGATTCTCTGGAGGAGTCGCTCCAAGGATCTCAGGATCCTCCTGGCTCACAGATTCTCTGGAGGAGTCGCTCCAAGGATCTCAGGGTCCTCCTGGCTCACAGATTCTCTGGAGGAGTCGCTCCAAGGATCTCAGGGTCCTCCTGGCTCACAGATTCTCTGGAGGAGTCGCTCCAAGGATCTCAGGGTCCTCCTGGCTCACAGATTCTCTGGAGGAGTCGCTCCAAGGATCTCAGGATCCTCCTGGCTCACAGATTCTCTGGAGGAGTCGCTCCAAGGATCTCAGGGTCCTCCTGGCTCACAGATTCTCTGGAGGAGTCGCTCCAAGGATCTCAGGATCCTCCTGGCTCACAGATTCTCTGGAGGAGTCGCTCCAAGGATCTCAGGATCCTCCTGGTTCACACTCCACACAACAGCTCAACGTTGTTCTCTTCCGATTCCTGGCACGGCCCACTCCACACCTGCACTTACTAGGAAAGGCCGTGCCGAAGAGACAGCAGAATGCTGGGAACGCCAGCAATGCAGTCGTAACGACAAGAACATTAACAGAAAGCTAATTAGAAGCAGGAAACCATGTTAGCGACAACCAGTGATGGGTGGGATTAAAATTCAAAAGTGGAAAAACAATTATCTATATTGTTTTTTTCAGTCCATGAAAACACTGAAGGCTCCGCCCCTGCCTCCTGCTTTGCTTTGGCCAGTGCTCCAGAGATACCCTTGCACTGAACTGCTGACCCCACAGCCTCTGTGAACAGGAATTTCCTGAAAATTCAGCTTTCTTGCAAAATCTACAGGACATGTTGCGTCCTGCAAGGATTAAGCACCGCAAACTGACAGAATGTCAAACCCCAAGATAAAAGAGGACAAAGAGGAGACGTTCTGAATATAGTACAAAGCACTGCAAAGGGCTGTTAGCACATGACCCGCAGCACCGGTAAGCAGTAAGCAGCTTCCAGATTGGGACCCAAATCATGCTGGAATCAAACAAGTGAGGAAACAGAGAGATAACAGCTTATAGTCGTCCGAAAGTAGAGCCCACTGCTGGGAACTAGTGGACAGTGGACTCTGACCCATCTGAAGGAAAGGCAAAAGTAAAAGGTATAACTGCTGAGCCTTGGGGTCCACAGATCAGGCTGTTTTGCTACTAAAACTATTTATTCTTTAAATGAAACTGGAAGGGCACCAGCATTTGGCGTACTGACTGAACAGATGAGAGGGAGCAGGATCAGGAGAAGCCTGTGATCAGGGTGCACTGCTAGCTCTACCCAGTGAAGTATTTTGCATGCTAGCCCTGCCAGTGAAGCATCCAGCACCACTAGCCCTGCCCAGTGAAGCATCCTGCATGCTATCCCTGCCCAATGAAGCATCCTGCATGCTATCCCCGCCCATTGAAGCATCCTGCTATTTAACCCTGTGATAAGGGTGCACTGCTTACCTTGCCAGTGAAGCATCTTGCATGTTGGCCCTGTTCATTAAAGCATTACATATGCTAGCCCTGTCCATTGAAGCATTCTGCATGCTAGCCCCACACAGAGAAGCATCCTGCAACCTATCCCAGCCCAGTGAAGCATCCTGCTATTTAAACCTTTGATCAGGGTGCACTGCTACCCCAGTCCAGTGAAGCATCCTGCTATTTAAGCCTTTGATCAGGGTGCACTGCTATCCCAGCCCAGTGGAGCATCCTGCATACTAGCCCCACCCAGTGGAGAATCCTGCATGCTAGCCCCGCCCAGTGGAGCATCCTGCATGCTAACCCAGCCCAGTGGAGAATTTTGCACGCTAGCCCCACCCAGTGGAGCATCCTGCATGCTAGCCTAGTCCAGTGGCGCATTTTGCACGCTAGCCCAGGCCAGTGGAGCATTTTGCATGCTAGCCCCACCCAATGGAGCATCCTGCATGCTAACCCCACCCAATGGAGCATCCTGCATGCTAACCCCATCCAGTGGAGCATCCTGCATGCTAGCCCAGCCCAGTGGAGCATCTCGCATTTTAGCCCCACCCAGTGGAGCATCCTGCATGCTAGGCCCGCCCAGTGGAGCATCTTGCATTTTAGCCCCACCCAGTGGAGCATCCTGCATGCGAGCCCAGCCAAGTGGAGCATCATGCATGCTAGCCCAGCCCAGTGGAGCATTTTGCATGCTAGCTCTGCCCAGTGGAGCATTTTGCATGCTAGCCCAGCCCAGTGGAGCATCCTGCATGCTAGCCCAGCCCAGTGGAGCATCCTGCATGCTAGTCCAGCCAAGTGGAGCATTTTGCATGCTAGCCCAGCCCAGTAGAGCATTTTGCATACTAGCTCCGCCCAGTGGAGCATTTTGCATGCTAGCCCAGCCCAGTGGAGCATTTTGCATGCTAGCTCCGCCCAGTGGGGCATCCTGCATGCTAGCCCCGCCCAATGGAGCATTCTGTTACTTAAGCCTGTGATCAGGGTGCCCCGCTATCCCCGCCCAGTGTAACATCCTGCTATTTAAACAGCCAGCTTTGCTTAGGCCAAAAAGACTGTCAACTTAACAAATGCATGACATACCAGGTGCGAAAACAAAAGCTCCCCCAAGAACATATACCCCTTTCTAGGCCTTTATACAATATCTTTATACAGAATCTCCATGGCATCCAGAATAGGCACAGAGGGTGCAATATCTAGACCAGGGATGCCCAACTCCAGTCCTGGAGGGTCAGAGTCCTGCACATTTTTGGGACACCTGATTCAACTCCTTGTACTAATTACCACACAGCTCTTGAGCTGAATCATTTATGGTGGAACAGGGAAAGAACTAAGCTACACAGGGCTCCGGCCCCCCAGGACTGGAGTTGGGCACCCCTGATCTAGACAGTCTTCATTTCTGTGGTGTTTCACAACTGTGCTGTACATTCAATCTCATTATCAAATCAGACCCAGAATATTATCCTGATACCCATGCTGATGATAATCGGATAAAGGAGCTGATTGCATCCACAAACACTGATAGGCCTTTTGTTTGATTACTTTGACATTTTAATGATAACTTTATGACCTTTTAATGATAACTTTATGACCTTTTAATGATTACTTTATGACCTTTTAATGATTACTTTATGACCTTTTAATGATAACTTTATGACCTTTTAATGATAACTGACCTTTTAATGATTACTTTACGACCTTTTAGTGATTACTTTATGATTACCTTTTAATGATTACTTTATTACCTTTTAGTGATTACTTTATGACCTTTTAGTGATTACTTTATGAGGTACCTTTTAGTGATTACTTTATGACCTTTTAGTGATTACTTTATGATTACCTTTTAATGATAACTTTATGACATTTTAATGATAACTTTATGACCTTTTAATGATTACTTTATGACCTTTTAATGATTACTTTATGACTAGCCCCCTGTACTGCAGCTTTGACGTGAGGCCCATCTCTGTGTCAGGATAACACGCACCTTTAAGAACCACATCCCACTGTCTGAAAGTCTCTTCCAAGAAATTGCTGACTGTTAACTGTTTGCTAAGTGAGTTCACCACAACGAACTGCTGTCTTATAAATCCTATAATCCGGTGGTTACTGAACTATGAAGGAAAACCCCAGGTTGACCGAAATTTTGAGTATTAGTAGGATGGCCAAAAAGGTGCAGTCAGACAAGAACTGAATGAAGTTACTCTGCCTTTTAACCTTTATACTGCAAATGAGGTACACTTTTGGTGTAAAAAGGTTAAATGTGTGGGAATTTTTTACCTTGACAGTGCAAGTGCACATAAAATCAGTATGCAGTTGTGCTGTTATAAGAAGAAATTGCTGCACACATTGCTATCTACAGTGAATGTCAATCCCTGATTATAAACAATACTTTTTTACAGG